AACCAGATGTTGCCATTCCCGGCCTAAGGACAGAACCCATTGCTCACTTGGGCGCACGCTTAACATCAAAACCAAAAGTGAGGTATTGCCAATGAAGGCGCTAGAAAATACTTGGTACAAGGTACTTGGAAGTAGAAAGAAGGATCAGGATACTGCATTGGGTGCAGCAGATTTATTTTGGTTTCTTTTGTGCTCCCTAAATAGACAAAAAAAATCAAAACAAATCCCTTAGTTCTGCAGGGGGTTCTAACATTAGTCGCCTCTTACGATACATGAGCGGGTAACAGCAGGTGTATTCTTTTCGTGATCCCCGACCTGCAGGGTTGTGTAAAGCAAGGCGCTACGAAATATAAAGATCCCAAATATTGGAATTGTTGCAGCAAATTTTCTAAGGTCGCCCTCTATGAGTGGGTCACAAAAGTGAATCTCAGTTCTGTTATGAAAGCAAGCAAAATAAATGTGCTGCCCAAATTGCAAGATCTTTATAATTCTCTCTACTTTAACTACCTTTTATTTCCTAGCACCTCATTTGATAATAACAACAACAGGTTCACCTGTTATCAGTATAATGTGAGATAGCACTATAAAGTCGGCATCAGATATGCGCTATCACAAGGGGGCAAGTACACCAACATACCCTGTGTCCTGCACACATGCATGATTACACATCTAGAGGTACGTCTAAAATTAATTACCTCAGCTGTTAATACGTTAAACGAAATAAAACCAAACCAAGCTTCCCCATTACGTGGTTCCTACTCTAGTCACCTCTTACGATCACGCGGTCGGCAACAGCAGATTTGTTCTTACTCAATCCCCGACCTGCAGGGATGCCTTTTGTGTGTGTCTCCCTGAGTACTAGTCCTCGCGCGACAATAGCTATATCCTTGTTTTCTTCAGGTCAACGATTTTCTTTGTATTCCTGTCTATTTGTTGCTAGCCTATAAATTAGGTGGTACTATATGACATAAGCAATAAGAAATTTTCTTTCTTTTGTAGCATTCAGCATTACTGCATCATTTATCCGTATACGGACTGTTGATAATAGGCTAGATTCTAGAACTGCACTGGCGGATGTTTATGCTCCTGATACAATATCCTGCTTGGGACTCTGTTTACATACTGCTGAGTGTGCGGCAATTTATATCCATCTGAACCAGACAAGGTGCTACCTCACGAAGGAATTAAATTCGGATCCATTTCTATTTTCAAGTTCGCAAGGAATGATATATCTCCAGCAGAATCCAAGTATGTTATTTAACCAAAAAACATCTTTGCTTAAAAGATCCAAGTACATGTTTTACAGGGACAAACTATTAAAATGTATAGTAGAAAATAGTCTTTATCAATCAAAATTTGTTGATTTTTTTCTTTTTCATTAAGGAATCTTGTCCCGCTGAACAGTAGTTTGTTTTAAACAATAACCCCTTTTATTATTACTCTTTTTATAGGCTTTTGTTTTGTTTGTTTTTGTATGTTTAACGGCCCATCGACTTGTTTTAAACAATAACCCCTTTTATTATTACTCTTTTTATAGGCTTTTGTTTTGTTTGTTTTTGTATTGTTTAACGGCCCATCGACAATGTGAGTCATTTTGGGGCCAACAACACTGTAAAAAGAGACATTCACGAAAATAAACACATCAAACCAAAATTTAATAGCTTAAAATATGTAAAGGATTAAAGAAATACAGTAATATCGAACAAATTGGCTGCACAATATATCATATTTTATTGTAAAGATCAATAGAGTGTAAATAGTCATATAGTAATTGCACAGAAACTGTATCGAATAATCTTTTCATAGAAGGTACATCATAAAATCTGTCACGTATTTGTTTTAGATCAGCACATTCAATCATAAAGTGTTTGCATGGTTGATCGCATGCACTAAAATAAGGCTGGCATATTCTCGCCAAGTGTTTCGTTTGGGTTCCTTTATTAAACGGCGAGGTGAATTTTAAATGTATTAAAGTTTTGGTTGGTAGGGCAATTTTTAAACTTTCTCAGAGCAGTTTTTCTACTTGAAATGGCTTTAACACATTCTTCATTAATCGAGAACTTAGAGGGTTTGGATTTTATCGAAGATCTTGGAATACTTTGTTCGGCATTTTTCAAAAGCTCTTCGGTAAATGTTTTAATAGCATTATCAATAAAAGCATTATCAATGTTTTCTAATTTGTCTTTATTTAAACTGGTTCTGGGTTTTAAAAAGATTCCAATCTGCTTTGTGGAATTTCCAGCGTGCAGTGATGGCATCGATAGGAGAACCAATAATCCCAAGAAAGATTGGGAAATGGTCACTTCCATAAAGAGCATCACTCACGGACCAGTTAAAGTCCAAAAGTAAGGAGGGATTGCTAAATGTTAGGTCAATATGTGTGAAAGATCCTGATGCTGGGTGAACAAGGCGGCGGTGTTTGACAGTAGAATGAATAATTTCTAAGTTTAAAAGACAGGCGTGGATAATAGTTTTCTAATGTATTGATATAGTTTTGGCCAGTGATTCGGTGATTCTAACTGATTAAAGTAACATGTTTTTGTCCAATTACACATTGTTTCGTTAATTATAGGGTAATATTAAGTCTTTCATCGATAAAATGTGNCCAATAATCCCAAGAAAGATTGGGAAATGATCACTTCCATAAAGATCATCACTCACGGACCAGTTTAAGTCCAAAAGTAAGGAGGGATGGCACAATGTTAGGTCAATATGTGTGAAAGATCCTGATGCTGGGTGAACAAGGCGGCGGTGTTTAACAGTAGAATGAATAATTTCTAAGTTTAAAAGACAGGCGTGGAAAATAGTTTTCTAATGTGTTGTTATAGTTTTGGGCAGTGATTCGGTGATTCCTACTGATTAAAGTACCATGTTTTTGTCCAATTACACATTGTTTCGTTAATTATAGGGTAATATTTAGTCTTTCATCGATAAAATGTGTGTCCTGCATGTAACCCTAAAACACATACTAAGTAAACACAGGAACTGTTGTAAAAAAATAAGCTAAAGATTAGGTCATTAATGATAAAGAATGGAATCATCTTCTAACATGTAAAACAGCGGGTATCAATAGAGAGCAGCACTTTGGTCAAAAGTACATTCGAGGTCAAATCTTACTATTTGGTTAACACCGTGCATTGATTGACGGAGGACTGTAGAATAGAAGATAGGGTTATCCATTTAGTGGCGACATGTGCCCGTATTCATGAAACCCATCTTATGCTCAAGAATAGATTCTGTGCTCAAACAATTTATATGCAACTCGCTCAAATCATGTGACATCCAAAACGTCAAGTGTAAATATTAAAAACGGAATTCAGCTTTTATCTCTCCAATTTTTTTCATAAAATTAAATCATACAGAAAAAAAAGAAAAAAAATCACCGGAACAAGATATTGAGTTTGAGCAGAATCTGAATTTGAGGTCAGTCATGCATGACAGAGATAGGGACGGGAGTGTGAACTCCCCAAAACAGACAGTGGTAACTGCCATTACCATGTTGTACTTCTAGTATTGTTGTTTTGGAAGGGGAATGCTAGCTTAGAAGTTAAATAAAATTGCTGTACGTGCCTCATTACTTATGTATAATATGTGGTATCTATGTGGTAGTTAAGAGTCTATATAGACGGAGAGACGGGAGTTGAGGTTCTAGAATGTGTGACCAGGGATGTCCTGGGTACAGCACGTGGTGTGCTTTAGAACTATGCGTTTGATGCTGTAACTTTATATAAACTGTGCGCATGTAGATGTGCTGTCTTGTTCAATAACTGTGTTAAAAAAGGATATCTGTTAAGTTTAAGAGAGATCTTACAAAGAGGGCCCACTCGAGGTATGGACCCCGACTGCCGCAGCAACAATGCGTAGTAGTAATAAAAATATTAAGTCCACAACGTTGTCTTCAGTGCGTTGTGCTAAAAATAAAAGACTGTAAATGTGCCAATGGTCAATATTTATGCTTGTGGATTACACCCGTCAAAAGTGGAAATGCAATATATTATTTTTTAAATATAATTTCTTCTATACAAGTATTTTGTTTAAACCTTTATATTTTCTTTTCCAGTATCATGTTTCTACACAATAATGACCTACTTGGAGGGCAAGATGTGTATTTGGCACAATTCAAAAACCCTGACTTACTCCGATGCACGTGACGATTGCAAATTGAGGGGAGGGGATCTTGTCATAATGAAAACGAATGACAAATACGCAACTCTTCGCACAAGTAAAGGTAAAAAATCGTAAATTTCGAAAGTGATTGGTTAAGGTATCTTTCAGACCCACAATTCAAAGGGTAACGTTAATAGAATATATATTTCTGCTGAAGATTCCGTAGGCGAACTGATATAAAACCACTTATAACAAAGTTTATCAGAACACAGTGGAATCAATGCGTAGACAACAAATGTCACCCTATAAAAACTGCAATTGGTGAATGGTATCCTAGCTACAGTGAAATGTGCTGAGACGAGGTTGTCTTTGCCCATCGCCGGATGAGTCATTCATACATTACCCATTGTTTTTTATTTAAACGTAAAGACGAACCTCAAGGCATAGCATGCCATGGACCCTGACAGTAAAGCACTTGATTGCGTTGATCTTTAGTCTACTCGAGAAAAATGTCTATCTAAAACGTAACGTGTCTCTTTTTGAAACAGTAACTATCTTTTCAATTTAAACAATCTGAACGCTTTTGGTTTGCTTTTTGTTCTGAAAGACAAGAGTCACTTTTAACATTCAAGTTGACGCTTGCTTTTTATTTTTATATGTGTTTGACGTCGTTTTCATTTTACATTTGTTTTCATCGACCAGTTGTTTGCCTTAATGACCCTTCCTGTGTTGATTGGCCATAAAGCATGCAATCATTATAATGATAACACGCAAACTTCATAATACTTTCTTATAGAAAATTGAATAGCATGACCCTTTCTGTGATGATTAGCCGTTTAGCATGTATTTCATTATAACACGCAACCTTCATAATATTTCCTTAAAGATAATTGAACAACATGACCATTCCTGTGTTGATTGACCGTTAAACATGTACTCATCATAATTATAACTCGCAAACTTCATATTGTTTTCCCTATAGAAAATTGAATTACCTTAACTTCAGACACTGCCTCTTACGACATTATTCGCTGTAAAGATTTGCTCCATAATGAAATTCGGTATTTTGTAGGTATATGTGAAATGGAATGGTGTATGATTTGTCTATTGATCAGGATAAGGCATTTGCATATTGTACTTACTTATAAAATTATAAAATGTAACGTAAGTTGTTGTTGTTTTTAACTGTAATACCTATAACATATATAAGAGAAATACTCATGCTATTTTGACAATTACATTTCACCAATATGAACATTTTCTTTCGTTTTGATGTGTGTAACGTGTTTTTGGCTTGTTATGCTTCAATTCAAAATGACCCGCTATTTGGATATGGATTTTTGAGCAGAGACAAAATAAAAAAAGCTTTCGTATCAAAATTTAAAACATGTAACATCTGAACTTCAACACACTGCTTGGAGATGTTTCTTTCTTTTGAATAACTTATCAATTTGCTTCAACCTCGAATAAGTTGACTTGTAATCGGTACTTCATCTCGTGATTTTAGTTTAGTTTTGGTTAAACACTACCGAGTAATTATGATTAAACCAGAAGTAAATATTCCTAGGTGCTGGCTGGTGGATTGGTGCGATAAAGCAACCAAATGGAACAATTTATTGGAATGACGACTCCCTTTTCGACCCTATTCCTCAGACAGGTTTCGATATCAACGTAGACGGCGATGGAGACTGCATAAGAACAGCTTTGAGTGGCGCTAACCGTTTTTGGAATTTTGATTGCACAGCCCTGCGAGATTCTGTTTGTGAGTTCCCCTTCCTTCTTGTATAGATTGACGAGTTGGAATAACTGGTCAAACAACAGACGTTAACGCAATATGGTGGTGAACCCAGACTATTTGCGCCTGTTTGTACATTGTTCTTAACCAAAAAGACAGTCTTCACATAACACGCCCTAAAGATCTTAATCTTGTAATTTAGGATGGAAACCTGAAATAAAAGTGAAATATATCAACAAGTTTCTTTTTGAGTTTTTGCTTCACTTATAGGTCTGAATATGTTATTTTTTGTGATTAAAAAAGAAATGTTGAACACTGCATAAACTTCGTCAGTTATTGTCGTGTATCGTGTATGCATCTGCTACTTTTTAACATCCACTTTTGCTGAATGTCCGGGACGCTTTTCTCTGTGACTTCACAAGTTTAACTACTTAAGCAGCCATAATAGAAAGATAAGGCGAGAGGAAAAACAGGCCATACAGCGCCAGATTGCGAAATAACATGAATTTTGAGGAATCGGATGATATTGTAGGTCTGACATCCAGGTGTATTAAATTTGCCAGACTAACGTACTCATTGATATTTATTGACCATTTTCAGTGTCCGGTCATCTTTAACTCATATATTTTAGTACTTCTACGATCCAAAAAATACGGAAATGAATCAGCAATTTTTTTTACAAAATATATTTCAACGTTCGTTTCTGCTATATTTTAGCAATATATAGCATATTTTAAATATCAACCCTATCTACCGTATTATCATAAATTGAAGACTTGCTCCCTGTTCAAAAAGATCCTTCTGCGGTTTTTTTTATTCTTAACGGCCAATCAACACAAAAGTGGCCATTAATGCCAATACAAGTAGATACAACATGTTAAAGGAATTGTCGAGATACTGATTGTTTCGAAAAGTGATTTGAGATATGTTATATTATAATACAAATTTTCTCTTGTTGACTGAAGGTTAATGCAATCTAATAGAACGATTTTCACTGTAAATGATTCGTGACATGCTATGCATTGACGCTGGTCAACGCTTCTCAATTAATAAGAAAGGTCAATGCATCTTTATGTCTGTGTCAAGGTATGACATTAAAGGGATGAAAGCAGGTGGATGAGCGAGTATCTGAATTGAGTACGTAGCTTATGTGCCTTCCAATTTTCTATTCAGCAACAATGTCGTTAGGCTTGATAACGGGAAATGAATAAGGAGCAATGGCAAGGTTGGTTAAGATTTATAGAGTGTAACGTCCTATCAACAGCTAAGTTCATTGTAGGACGTGTCTCCATGTGTATTGTGTATGCGTGTATGTGTGCTGGAGTAAGGGTATATTGTTGTACCTGCCTCCTAGTAATAGCGCGAATCTGATGCCGATTTTAGGGACTGCTACCTCACTGAAATAACATACCGAAGACACCCAGCACAGCATTCCGCCCGGTCACATTATACTGACAATGGGTGAACCAGTTGTTGCCATTCCCCTAAATGCTGAACGTTAAGCATGGAATAGCAACTACTTTTTCAAGGACTTTTGTATGTCTTACCTAGGGACAGAACCCATTGCCTTCCTCATCTGGGTCAACGTTCAACGTTGAAGCCAAAAGTGAGGTATTGCCAAGCAGGGCGATAGGAAATAAAAAGATAGTTAGAATTGAGAAACATTAAGATCCCAACTATTGCAATGGGCGCAGCAGATTACTTTTGATCGCATTGTGTCCCCAAATAGAGGGCACAATGCTTATCCCCAATTCTGAAAGGGATCCCACATTAGTCGCTTCTTACGATACATGCAGTGGGTAGATATCCGACCTGCAGGCTGCAGGGGTGAATGAAGGCTATGGTTGAAGTTGCAAATCACTTCAACAGTTCTAACAGCATGTTGTAAAAGGATGGGGAGGAATGCGAAAAAAGGACAAATCTTGTCGATGCCAAGACCCAATACAGCGCATTAACGACAGAATGAAGATAAACCGTTACGTACAAAGCTACATTAAGATACACTTGATCATAAATATGTTCAACTGTTGGTAAATCCCCGGAAAGCTTTGTTAATTGAGATAAGTGTTGACAGAACAGCGTAAGATTAAACGTTCACATGAATGCAAACAAACAAAAATGACCGATCTTTGACGTTTTTATCAAAAATACTACATCACAGAGTGTGTCGTTATATAAAGATCTCAACTATTGCAATTGGTGCAGCAGATTTATTTTGTGGACCCCAAGTAGAGGACACAAGAGCAAATCCCCAATTCTGCAGGGTATAACGACACACTCTGTGATGTAGTATTTTTGATAAACAGTTGATAGGGCTGCTAAAGCATCTCGTGACCTTTATCCAAAAAGATATTTAACTTCCTTATTGTGATTTTTAACCTTCAATAGCGAATTTTATCAAAACGATTTGGAAAAAGAAAGAGTCGGAACAAAACAACTTGCAATTCAACCTAGCGTAAATTCATGTGCTACAAAGAGAGCAGACCGCATAGAGGAAGTTGTCCTCTTGCCACTGCGCATAGGCGATATCTACGTCACACAGATAGTTTTACAGAAAGAAAACTAACCTTATTGACATGCATGTGATCAGCTATTTACATTCAATTAATTTATCATCAATGCGCTGATTTCAAACAAAAACGTCTGAAAGGTTTATTTGATAATGTTTTGTGCAATCAATAAATGATTATTTACACTGAATCGATCTTTCTTTTAAAATCTTATTTAGTTTATAACTAAGTCGTACAACCCATTCTTATTTATTGAAAAACGAAGACTCCTCAATGTATAGCATGTCACGAACCATTTACAGTGAAACACTGATTGCATTGACATTCAGCCAACAAGAGATTTTTTTTATGATAAAATAACAGATCTCGAATCACTTTTAGAAACAGTCAGTATCTTTACAATTCTAAACTATCTAAAAACTGTCGGTCAGTTCAGAAAGATATAACTAAATCATAGCCACTTTTACAATGTATTCAAATTGACGTTTGTCTTTTACCTTTTCGTTTGTTTGATGTTTTTCCTTTAACAGTTTTTTTCTACTGTATTGGCCCTGATGTCCTCTTATGTGTTGATGGGCCGTTAAGAATAGTATAATAATTATAATATTCTCTGTTGATGTATTTTTACATTTGTACACATTTAAATCTTTGTTATTTCTAGTTTAATGTTTTCATTTTTGTAAATGTCTATTTTTGTCAATCTTCATCAGATGTTCGGCTATTTATTTCGTCCTGCGTCTGTTGTCCGTCCGTCCGACGTTCGTTCATATGTGATTCTAGTTATCGCTATTTCTCAAAAAGGACTGAAGGGAAACTTTATATGGAAGCTCCCCTTAGTACTGTACTAAGTGGTGCATATTTACTTACGAAAAAATATCGAATTTTACAAAAGGCCCATAGGCGGACATCTTGGATTTTTACAGGTAGGGTTTGTTATTGCTATTTCTCAGAAAAAAACTGGAGGGATCATTCTGAAATTTTACATGTGGGTTTCTCTGTGTCCTTTATTGTGCATGTTAACTATTGAGTCTGATCAAATTAACAAATGACCGACAGGCGGTCTTTGATTATGACAGTTAAGGTTTGTTTTCGCTATTTCGTAGAAAGCACTAGGGGGATCTTTCTCAAATTCCATATGTAAGTACTCCTTGGTTTGTAGCTGTGCATATTTACTTTTGAGACCGATCGCAAAAACAAAATGGCCGACAAATGGCCATCTTTGGTTTTGATAGTTAAGATTTGCTACCTTTAATTTTCAGAAAGTTCTGCAAGGATCTTTCTCAAAAGTAATGAAAAGGTTATCATTGGTCCTTTGTTGTGCATGTTTACTTTTGAATCTGATTGAAAAAACAAAATGGCTGACAGGTGGCCATCTTGGAATTTTGTCAGCATTCTTTCACAGAAAGTATTCAAAGGGTCTTTCCAAATTTTTTACGAATGTTCACTTAATTAAAAAATATCTCTGGCCCTTACGAGAATTTATTTCTCCTTGACTGTGCATTAATAATGTAAAAATTACAAATTTTAGCATTTTGCATATAGCTATGCATTTACAGTAACATTTGCCATAGTGACATAATGACGGTAACTTAATGTATAAGATGCCAGTTTAGAAACCTGCATGGAACTGGGTGATAGTACATGTAAGGAAATTTATGAGCAAAGAAAATAAAAGATCATCTTTTGTAAATCTGATAAAGATCCTTCCAATGACTTATTTTCGACGGGCCGTGAAACGATACAAAAACAAAACAATATTATGCTTTCCCTAAAACTAAAGAAAGTAAACCGGAAACGAAAATAGATCCCAGGTTTTGCAAAGGGGGTAACGAATCAGTTTTGGTCTTATCCATGTCTCCCAGCATAAGACACAGAAGAAGAAACCCTATTATACAGGGAACCAGCACGACAAGGAGTGAGCTACCGCAGGTCTTTTTTATTGATTTTTTAGTTTGTTCCCTAAACAAAGGACAACGAAGAAACCACCCTTGATTCTACAGGGGCTTACAATATAGTGCAAGGGGATACAGCAGGTCTATTATCTCCACCTGCAGCTAAAATTGTTACCTTGAGGCCAACACTGCTTACTTCACCCCTAATTGAGAGAGAAGAGTTCTGAAACATTGAAGGCATTGGCAATCTCGCTAAACCAATTAAAAAGGCATTAGAGCACATAGAATGACAGTCGCTCTTGCATGAGTTTATGTGATGGGTTAGATGTGTGCAACGTACCGTAATGTTCCATGATTATTAAATTACATATTCCAAACCACAGAGGATTTTACAGCACTATATTTTTTATTTCTCACACGACATCCAGAAGTCAATTTCTTATAAAACAATATATTAGCATATACATAATTTACTTTAACACATAGTGGCTAATTTGGGAATACTGACTTGTATTTCATTGTGCATTTGTTTATGCATGTTAAGGGGAACGTCTCTTATCGTTCATTTATGCCCTACGAATTCCTTGAAACAGTAATTACTTAAAATTACTTTTTTTTCAAATAGCAATTCCATAGGTTCCTTTACAAATATAGTAGGGGAAAGGGCAATAACACAAGAGGATGTCGCCTCAACTCGCGTCGTGTTCTCTGTCAAATGTTGACAAACAGGCGACACCCAGTTATGTTCGCTCCTACTACCCCAGGTTCATTGTGCCAATGGCATGGAGTGAAAAGATGACCAAAAGTAGATAGAGTACAACAAGTTTATACATATATAAACAATGATGATATTTACAATGAAATAATATGCAGTCCTGTAGTCATAGTCTATAGATGAACAATATAAAGAAACGGGTCAAAATGAACCCTAACGTTTACTGTTAATTCATACTATCAAATTGCCTAAATGTTGTATAAATGTGAGACGTGTATGCGTAAGACCACCCGGACTGCTATAAAAATATCTAACACCTCCCTACATAATTTCGCCAAAACCCCATTCCCTGACAACTAATTAAACTACAGGAATCCTAAGTGAATGTAAAGTCAGAACATCCTGCTGTCAGGACGGAATAAGTGAGAAACTAGGGATAGACTGTACACCCTGCTGTCGGGATGGAATAAAGTGAGGCTCTAACTAAAATTGAACATCCTGCCGACAGGACGGTAAATATGGAGGCTAACCTCACCTGTAGAAAGGCCTAACAACGTCGGCTGCCGACTAGAAGTACAGAGAGCGAGCACCCCAAAACTACCAGATTTTATACAGTAGACGAAAATAGTCTCTAAACAGGAGATTCCACGAACCCGGAATNAAAGTAGATAGAGTACAACAAGTTTATACATATATAAACAATGATGATATTTACAATGAAATAATATGCAGTCCTGTAGTCATAGTCTATAGATGAACAATATAAAGAAACGGGTCAAAATGAACCCTAACGTTTACTGTTAATTCATACTATCAAATTGCCTAAATGTTGTATAAATGTGAGACGTGTATGCGTAAGACCACCCGGACTGCTATAAAAATATCTAACAACTCCCTACATAATTTCGCCAAAACCCCATTCCCTGACAACTAATTAAACTACAGGAATCCTAAGTGAATGTAAAGTCAGAACATCCTGCTGTCAGGACGGAATAAGTGAGAAACTAGGGATAGACTGTACACCCTGCTGTCGGGATGGAATAAAGTGAGGCTCTAACTAAAATTGAACATCCTGCCGACAGGACGGTAAATATGGAGGCTAACCTCACCTGTAGAAAGGCCTAACAACGTCGGCTGCCGACTAGAAGTACAGAGAGCGAGCACCCCAAAACTACCAGATTTTATACAGTAGACGAAAATAGTCTCTAAACAGGAGATTCCACGAACCCGGAATAGGTGACCTATCTATGTATGGTCATCTTTTCACTCCATGCCATTGGCACAATGAACCTGGGGTAGTAGGAGCGAACATAACTGGGTGTCGCCTGTTTGTCAACATTTGACAGAGAACACGACGCGAGTTGAGGCGACATCCTCTTGTGTTATTGCCCTTTCCCCTACTATATTTGTAAAGGAACCTATGGAATTGCTATTTGAAAAAAAAGTAATTTTAAGTAATTACTGTTTCAAGGAATTCGTAGGGCATAAATGAACGATAAGAGACGTTCCCCTTAACATGCATAAACAAATGCACAATGAAATACAAGTCAGTATTCCCAAATTAGCCACTATGTGTTAAAGTAAATTATGTATATGCTAATATATTGTTTTATAAGAAATTGACTTCTGGATGTCGTGTGAGAAATAAAAAATATAGTGCTGTAAAATCCTCTGTGGTTTGGAATATGTAATTTAATAATCATGGAACATTACGGTACGTTGCACACATGTAACCCATCACATAAACTCATAATTAACATAATCGAACCGCTTCCGCCAACATGGCGACGAAATAGGACAACAAACAGTGTACGAAGTAATCTGTAACAAAATACAGGCATATATGAGCTTCCCCAAAAGTGCACAGTATTACAAAATGGAATCTAACGGTTAAACACTATTCCAACTAGCCAAGTGACACTGTGTCACGGTATGCAAAGGTGCATATAACCATAAAACTTGTACGACAAAATCCGACTTCGCCACACAAATATTACCACTTAGTTCATGCCAAATTTTGTGATGATTTGCCATTTTTACTAGAAAGACGCCCTTGCAGATTCGGGGAAGGAAAGGCCTGCTGTACAGTGTATATGTTGTTCCCGCCTTCATGGTTTTCAAATTCAAAACATTGCTCTTCGTCTTAACAGGATTTTAGTTTTCTGCCACCTTGTAATCATATGGATACCCGATAATGTCGGAATAAGTGGAAATGGGAAAGCAGATAAGGCTGCTAAAGCTATGAACCTACATCCAAACTTTATCAAACTGCCTTATTGTAATTTTAAACCTTCAATCGTGATTCTTATTACACTTTATTCGAAATTCAACCCAACGTAGGTACATGTGCAAAAAGTAGAGTAGAGCAGACCGCAAAGAGGCAGTTTATATTTATATTTTTACACTTATTAAGCCTTTTTATACGCCCGTCTTTGACGGAAGTATTATGGTATGGGGGTTGTCCGTCCGTCCAGCGTAAACTTTTGTTTGTCCGGCAATCTTCTCCTATATTTTTCGACCGATCTCTTTGAAACTTAGTATACATTTTAATCATGGACTGAAGTTGTGTCTCCCTTTAAAGAATTTTGATTCGACAATTTTTCCAAAGGTTATTGCCCTTTGTTCATTTCATTATTTAGTTTTTTGTCCGGAGATCTCCTCCTACATTGTTTTGACGGATTTCTTTGAAACCTGGTAGGCTAAATAATCATGATATGTTGTTGTGTTTCCTTGAAAAGAATTTTAAATTCAACAATTTTTGCTGAAGTTATTGCCCTTTGTTTATTTCAGTATTTTATTTTGTCCGGCGATCTTCTCTTACATTTTTCAATCGATCTATTTGATTTAATCATGAAGTTAACTTGTGTTTAATGAGTTGGAGACTTACCACTGATTACATGAATTCCTTAAAATATTGACAAGGTCCCTTAAACTTAATTTTTGAGACTTCAATGTGAGCATTTTGCTTTAATCTCCACTGTTCAGCTTCAACTTTTTCATGTACTGGTACATGCATGTAAAGAAAACCTGAGATTCATAGAAGAAAATAGGATGATGTAAGTTATTAAATGAATTAATCATTTTCATATGCATGCACAAATATACTGAAAATAAGGGTAAAAAACCAGATCAATATTGTGGTTATACAAATAATTTAATAAGTTACACTAACCTTCGTTTGATAATGAATGATTAGTAATTTCCCTTCATCTGATAATTGTTGATGTTCAGAATAGAAAATATAATGACTCTTTTTTATATATTGTTTAAATAAGACCAGTATCTGATTTTCTATCTTGTGTTGCTCCTGTATCATTCTTTGTCCACATGTGTTTATGCCATGATTATGATGATGAATAATAAGCCACCTTTTCATATTAAAGTTGAAAAATTAAACATTAAATTAGTTGTGAAAGGTGAGTGTTGTAGCGTTATAGCATGTCAGCTAACTACTCTTAGAATGTTGAAGATCTTATTTCAATGTAAGAAAGTATATAACACTATATGGCATTCGACGGGCGTATATTGTTCCGCCCCGCGGTACTCCTGTTTTAATTTCTAGTTTGATGTACACATTTTCGTGAAAGTCAAAAATGATCTGAGTTTGTTTTCTGCTAAGGAGGATTTAGAAAACTAGAATATGTAGGACATAACTCCCCCGTCGCCATGTGAAATTAGTTACAGTGTTTCATGTTCTATAAATAGTAGCAATCACTTTGATCACGGGACGCGGCGGACTTCGGCAATTCTCTTTTTTTTTGTTTTCTTGTTGCAATATTTTCTTTTGTTTTCTTGTTGCAATATTTCACTTTCGGCCTAAATGTTGAACATTTATCTAGGTGAGGAAGGCAATGGGTTATGTCCCCAGACCGGGCCAAGTCCTTAAAAAATGGAGTTGCTATTCCCTGCTTAAAGGGAAAATTTAGTGAAGTAATGGATCACAGCACACGTATGTTTATGTGTTGTTAAATCACACAGTTGTGCGCACCATGTGTGAACGATATGCGGATGGTGTGTGCACGATGAGCGCACGCTATTTTTGTGCGTTGTGGAATCACACAACTGTATTTCAAAATATATATTTGACTAAAATTATCAAAAAATGTCGAAACTTTCTTGAATATTTTCAGATCAGTATGTGTGCTGGTGACAGGTTATGTTGGTGTACTTGCCTCCTTGTGATAGCGCATATACGATGCCGACATTATAGTGCTATCTCACTGATATACCATGACGAAGGCATCCAGCACAGCATTCCGTCCGGTCAAATTATACTGACAACGGGTGAACCAGTTGTTGCCATTACCCTTAATGCTAAAGGTTAAGCAGGGAATAACAACTACCATTTTCGAGGGCATTGGTATGTCAGGTAACCGAAGATTGTTTGTGAAACAAAACATCCTACGGCAATCCAACATAAAAACAGTTATTCCGATAACATCTGATATAACATTATAAACATAAACAGATACTTTCAGTCACGGTTTCACCGTTTTTTGCACTATTATAGCGAAAACGGTTAGTAAAAATACACATTCAAAATTCCATTGAATACAATATTCTAAATACACATGTTTAACGTCATTTTACAAATGTTCCAGGTCAACATGTACTATATTGCTTTACTCGAAATGTTTATCGAGACTTAACAACCTCAGTCGCTACTAATGAACTGGACAATTCACCATTGTTCTGTCCCGACATCGTTTCTCGTCCTCATCAAAGTAGAGCATTGGATTACATTTCTGGATGTACGGGATGTTGTCAAAACAGTTAACGAACTTTGAACAGTCGAATGGGTGACGAAACAGTCCCACAGGTTGTGGACACTGTACTTGGGTGAAGCAACTGACTGATTCCTTTAGGTTACACGTCTTAATATTGTTGTCAAATAGCATGTTGTCTGGACAGGGTTCCCTTATGGGAACGTTTTGGAAACATTTGTAGTAATAGGCGCAGTTGTACGGGTCTTGAAATAGCGCATTCAGTGATGGACATGCCACAGGCGGATTCGGGTCAGGCTGCCAAAACCCTGTCGTGGAGAATTATTATTATTTTCATTATTATTATTTTGAATTCTTAACGACTCATCAATTGAGATGAGGTCACTAAGGCCTTTAAAAGGTAAAACAAACATATTAAAGGTAATAAATCAACAGTTTTCAGGTCAATGCAAAAAATGTTTCGTGACATGCTATTTTTAAGGCTGGTCTTCGCGATATGCTTTTTATTCAGACTGGTCTTCGAGCTTTAATAAAAGATTACTTCAATGACCCTCGTGGCATGCACAGATACAGTATGTTGTCTAATCAACCAAGTCTTTTCACTTTTTTCGGGAGTAAGAAGACGTCAAAAAGCTCTTAACTGTTCAATGTAAGTGCTTTATTTCCAGCCATCAGCTTCTGAACAAATATATTACTTGCATAAGCTTGATTTACATGCTAGTTAGATATCAGCATTGAATTCAGTTAGCTTAATTTCCAAACAGTTTTGGAAAGTTTGATGGAAATATATCCATCCTATATTTAATATGTTTGTATACGCTAAGGCATATTAGACAAAGCTGGAAACAAATTAATATCCCTTTAACAATATTTAAATACGTATACCAACATTTTCATGGCAACAATGCTTTGCGATATAGCCCGTGTTTGTCATTTTCGATAGTAGATTCGAAAAAGAGTTTTTTGGTCGACAAATATTGTCGGAGATTACACCTAATGATATGAATCCAGCAATCCCATAGTAGAATGAAGTGATGTTAATATACTTACTCGGAAAGCAGTTTTGTTCCGTGACGTTTATGGATGGGTCCAACGCTGCAAATAATTTACAAACCGTTTTAGTTGGTATTTTGAAATAAAAAACATTTTTATATATCTATTTGCTTTTATATCTTAACATAAATGTTTATGGATATTTTACCACAATTACACAAATAGAGTATTACAAATTGGAGAGCTGAACCGATTTGTAGTAAATACAGCAATAGTTCGATTCCTATGATCACAACATGGAGCCTATAACGCAGGTATTTTCGTATCAACAACTACATGTGGGACAATTATGTACCGCTGTTACTGAAAAAACAAATGCATATGCATACGGATCTATATGAATAGAATGCTTGAGACCGGAATGTCAGTGTTTTAATTATTTGCAGGATAATTTGAATTTTGAAGATAAATCTTTGATATATCATTAGGAAGGCTAATGAAAGTGTTTGAATGAAAAATTTATACAAAATATAACAAAGCAAGTTTTTATATAGATTTGATTTTGAAGAAATAATTTCATTATTAGTTTATACCTGTGCAAATGCTGAATTGATCATTTCTTGAAAGAAATACAAGGAACATTTGGGCATTTGAATCAAGTAATAAGATACGAAATAAATAAACAAGTGTTAATATAGATTTGATTTTAAAGAAATAATTTCACTAACGAAGTTTATACCTGTGCAAATGCTGCTTCCTAAATAAGGGAGAAGACTTGGCAGTCCGTCAATAAAACTCCCCATGGAGAAAAGTTTACATGGATCAGACCCAATTTCAAGAAACTCTGGCCCAATCGGAGCCCGTCCAATTATGTACATGGTGACGTCATCACTCTTTATGCCTCGTGTCGCGTTAACAACAGCTTGTGTTTCCTGAACGTCCATTCGGCCATTTGTAAATAAGACACCTATCTTTCTCACGCCTGGTCTGGGCATGACCAATGGGAAACCGGCAGGATTTCGAAACATGTGACGCATAAGAGTCAAGGCACCTGTGACGTCAGATTTTCCATACAGTTTGTCTATGTATAAATTACGCTGTGACAAAAGCGTGATCCTAGCGTTAGTAGCCGCCTGGTCTCTGAAGGGTTGTGGATAAGATATCGCAATGGGTTCATTGCCATAAAGAACTAGGCCTACATTTATGTTTTCACTGTTCAAGACAAAATGGTCAACAATCATAACTAAAAAACGTTCAAATGGGAAAAATTCCTCTCCAGGAATGTCAAGATTTCCTGGAATTGCAAAAATGATATCTGCCTTTCCGGTACAATCCGATTTAACTAAAACAGAACAGATACAAATCATTACAAAACATTAGGCTGCAAACGTTTCAGTGAGCACAACCAATTTGTATTTCAATTATTTGCAGGATAATTACATTTTTTCAGTTAGTAAAATAACCAAATGGTGCCTTCACGCAGCCAAAGCAAAATTAAACAAATTTTCAGAGGAGCAATTCATATAAGATGTCATGTAAATACCAAGTCAGATAGGCTTATAATCACAAAGATTCGGAAAATATTTTACCTGAATGCAACGTATATATTATTGACAGGAGTACAATCCATAAAATTGAGTTTCCCATCATTAAAACTTGAGGTTTGGCTTCCTGCAACAAACAAAAATTCAATAATTTCAAACAAAATAAAATCTTTAAATATAGCCAAAAAACATATTCCGGTACACCTGGTCTTATTTTCCCTGTACTTTTCCAATGGTCTCCATATAAGTCTTTTCTTTAATCATATTTTGCCATTGCTATATCGATTTTTAGTTCGAACTCTGGTTTTGTTGAGAATTCGGAATTCTCCTGCTGTTAATAGGACGTTAAACAAAATCAAACAAACAAACAAACAAAAAATTGTTTTACTCAAACGAACGTGCACCGTTCATATTTCAATTAATTTCCAGTACACATTACATAGACACATTGCATTTACAGAGGCTCGTCCTTAAATGACATAAGCTGTGAATAGGACGCTTAACAAAATAATACCATAACTAATTATAATCAAAAAGTAAAATCAATAGTTTGAATAAGAATATTTTGTTGTTTATTTGATATTAATATACTCGAACCGAAATCAACAACGATACTAATACCTCTTTCAGCAAAAAGATGTTACTTTTATGAGTAAACTATCAGTTGGTTTTGTTTTTTCTATGCAACATATCCCATACGAAGACGTTTATCAAGAGACATTTAAAAGATAGCTGTTGACCCATTCCCAATATTGTTGAAGAGACCCCCATATCATTCGAGCTGAAACTGGCAACAACAGGTGAGTTCGCTTACCACAAACATACGCGACACACATTAAAAATAACCTCGGGAAGTAAACAGTTGAGTAACATTCCACTGCGTAAACAATAGTTAATGCCACATGAATGTAGTCTTAGTTTCGTTAGCAGTCGTTTAGTGTTGATTTATAAGTGTCGGTCATGGCGGTCTAGGTTATATTAATAATTTTGTCACAACGACAAACAACAAATTTTGAAACAAAATGTCCCTTTATTATTATCTGTCCTGTCCCGATAAGACTTTACTGTTCCTGAACCATTAAACAAAACACTGACTGGCTGAGGGTTAAATGTAGACAAATGTTGAAAAATGTGAGGCCGGCATGAATCCTTCGTTACGAACCAGGCACTATGTCGAGTGTTTGCATGACATTTAGCACAATAGTCTATCCGGTCACATTATACTGATAGCGACTAATTCAGCTCTTGTAATTACCCTAAATGGTGAACAATAAGCAGCGAATGACAACTATCATTTTCAAAACTTTGTTTGGTATATCCCATTCTGGGGCAGGAACTCATTGAATTCACTTGGCGAACGTTCAACGCTGAGGTAAAAATTGATATATCGCCAATGCGTTAAGAAATAAAAAGATTAATAGGAAATAGAAAGAAAATATGAGAAATGCTTCAATGGGAACTGTAGACTTCTTGTTATCGCTATCGTGTATATTGCACAGGTACATATCCCTAATTCTTCAGGGAACTGATTGTGGGCGCTTTGGTGTAACAAGCAACGCAGAGGGCACAGAAACAAATCCATAATTATGCAGGGGATTGGATGCTGTCGTTATGTCCCTAAGTAGAGTGCATAAAAAGCATATCTCGAAGTCTACAGAATATCTACTGTGGTCGCTATTGTGTCACCAAGTAGATGGCTCAAAAATAAATCCCTATTCTGCAGGGGAACATCAAAACAATGATAATAATCACTAAAAATGCATTATGTACACTGTATTGCTTAAATACAAAATAACCACTGTCGACGTGTATATGAATATCAAAGTAATGTTTCAAAAAGATACAATAGATATTAATTTCTTTGTAATAAAGCAACTGTTTCTTACCACAAAATATACACTGTTGGTCCAGTTATTTTATCTTATTGATAATATTTTAGGGTGAGTCAAAGATAGGATCTATTGTAGATATGTAGAGCCCGAAAGCCATGGTTCACGATAAGGAGTGATGAATGACTCAACCCGCATTTATTCGCATATAATGACGTTAGTTTATGGGAAGACCGCTACAATAAGGTGACCGAAACTTTGTAACGGTATTTATTCATTGTGATCGTCATTTATATTGATTATTTATGCCTTATCGGCAAGGATTGGCGCGTCTAGTGGGCACGTTATGACGTTTTAGTTACTCATCAAAATATTAGCGTGCATTAGATGTGCATTTCGCAATAATTCGTTTGTGGGAAATATTTTCTCGACAATATATATCACCGAATATTTATCTTATTATTACCGTCGCGTAAAAAGATTGACCCTTATATGTTTATGTAGTTTACCGCTTAAATAGATAAATTGAATTTTAAAAAGACCATAATAAATATCACGATAGCATGTTTATGTTCAAATAAATGGGAAAGTTCCTTTGTTTGAGCAATGATGTATCTACTTCTTCTACGTCAATCAGTTATTATATTGGAACAATCTCAAACTTGCATGGGTGTCTTTGCTCAAACCATGGAAACATGTATTATGTTAAAGGTCCCACTTGTTGCTGCAAAAAATGCTGGTAGGGGCTGTTTGATTGAAAATTGAAGAGAAACAACAAATTCTGAGAGGGGGGTTCTAAGATACAAAACCATTTTACATAATATTAGGAAAATAGGGAAACAAAAGTTGTTGTTTTATTTCAAATTATAAAACCCATTATTGTGATAGTAAAGGTTACACGTTCCAATATTTTTTTAGTCCTGCTTGTTTTATATATTGCTATGGATATAAAATTCAGTTATTTATTCAAATGGAAGAGTAACATGATTTTAATGGAAGATTATCTATAGTGCCAGCGTAGTTTGATATTGATATTGACGTCCAACCTAGATTTTAATGAGCCAATATCATTGTTTGGTATGCTTACTCTTTGACCTTAAATAACATGTACCTCAATACAAAGACGATGATGAATTTAAATTTCTTGACTCATCAATCAGTTAACCTGGTTGTGTCAGTACTTCAAACAACTTATAACTGTTTGTTTTACCTGACTGCATTTTGACGATATACACGATATACGGTACTTTGGAATATCCCAAAGCAATTAATTAAATATACATTAATACAGCTAAGTCGATTTTTTATCATAATTGATTACACATCAAAAAGGATTTATGATTCTTTAAGTACATATTAAATATGATTAAATAATCTGACAGGTTTTAATGAATTCCAACTATTAAACGCGGGAAGTCTCTCTGGTGCCCGGACACGAGTTACATTCATATTAAAATAACACCGAATTTGCCTGTACTGAAACTGTGTTTCTAGATAAATAAACCATTTTGTGTCGGTCTTTGTGACCAAAACGTTCCGATTTTGTCGTTATTTTTTACACGCACGACAATTTTAGACTCATTTTGATCTTGAGATCTGTTTTTCCAAAAAAAAGTAATACACCAGTAAAAAGACTTCTCCTCTGGTACATTTCGTGAATCTTATTTAACTTTAGGAGACATAAAACAGTAGGGCAAAAAATATTGCATGTAGTACCCGCGACGTAATGTTGAATTTTGGACAAAGATGTTTCTGTGGTTCAACTAAAAGGATAAACCATTAAAATTGCGTTTTCCTATGTTGTTGTAAAAATACAGATTATAATTATATAAGTCCTTCAAAACCATCGAGGGGCGTGTCTACTAAAAGCAGGAAACCTCGTTTTCCTGCCATCATTTGTCAAGAGAAAAGTGGCATTATAAAGGATTTCCTAAGAATTTGGGCAGTAAACGAGGTTGCAAATGGAACAAGGGGCATTACTTCGAGGTTTTACTATAATATGATTTGCTTTTGTAACTTATTTAAGCAGACGTATGATTTTATACAAAGAGATATCTGTTTGACAGTATCGTTTGATCCAAAACGTCAACGTAATTGTCGATGGGCCGTATCAAAAACAAAAAACAACAAAAAAACGTCTCTTGTGTGTCCTTGACACACCGACCATTAACCCATTTTTTCATCATGTGACCCTTAATGGCCTAAGTGTGCTTAGGTGCTGTTAAGACCAAATACAATAACCTCTTGAATCGATACACTGGACATCGCTTGAGAACAAATAAATACAGTTTCAATAAAACTATCGCTTAACGTTTTAATAAGGAAAGCGAGTATATGCGAACAATGTAGCGTCCGTCAACTAGATGAGGCATATATAGTTAATTCTTTTGTTAGATATATTTGGTTTGGTTTGGTTTTATCTTGTTTAACGTCCTATTAACAGGTAAGAATTGCCTCCGTGTATATTGTTGATACGTGCATGTGTGTATGTGTGCTGGAGACGGGGTACACTGTATGTCGGTGTGCTTGCCTCCTTGTAATAGCTTTGATCTAGTGCCGACTTTATAGTATTACCTCACTGAAATACCATGCCAAAGGCATCCAACACAGCATTCCGCTCGGTCACATTATACTGACAACGGGTGAGTCAGTTGTTGCCAATACCCTTAACGCTAAACGTTAAGCAGGATATAGCGGAAATATACATATAACATGTAAGTGATGCATTCTGGTACTAGTATCATTAGCTATCTTAGATATGGTTATGTCATCATATGCCATCTCCCACCTGGCAAGCAACTGTCCAGAAAGTCAGTGACCCGTATGATTAAATGGTCAAACAATAGATAGATACTAATGGATATAAGCATCAGGATTGGTTTGGTTTTATAGGATCTAGCGTCCTATTTAACGCTACGATCATATAAAGATGTGATTTTCATGTGTGTATCATTGGAATGGTATGGTTCATGGGGGAAAGCATATTATTTACAGCTTAGATCATTTAATGACGTGCTTTCGTTTGTGTATCATGGGAATGGTAAAGTTCATACGAAATAGCTTATTATTTACAGCTTAGATCATTTAAAGACGTGCTTTCAAGTGTAATTCAAATGTGCTGGAGGCAGTATATTAGTGTATTTCCCTTGCGAAAGCGCGGTTCTATGGCCTCCTGTATACCACTGCATGTTGTAAGGGTCTACTAATGTTGGGGCCCTGCAAAATCGGGGGGTTTCTACGGTGTCTTCATAGAGGTCATTGAGGTAAATATTTTCTGCTGCCCCGATTGGTACCTATA